TCTCTCTCTCTCTACCTCTCTCTCTCTCTTTATCTCTCCCCTCTCTTTGTGTACCTCTCTCTCTCTCTACCTCTCTCTCTCTCTCTCTCTCTCTGGGTTTATAATAAAGCTGAGCTGAAATCATCAGCAGGTTTCATAAAGCAGTGTTGTTTACTGTTGTTGTAACAGCTGAAATCTCAGAAACAGTAACTTTAATAGAAAAACTTTTTATTATGATTAAATTTTACAGTAATTTCTAATTTCAGTCATGTTCATTATGGAATGTCCACACAGTGCAACACACTGTAAAGGTCAGCTGGAGTTTATAAATGATTACACACAAAAAAGACGGTGGTTTTATGTAACTGTTGCATTCATTTCTCCCTCGTACGCTCGCGAGAAAGAGCGACTCTCCCCTTTAAACAGCAGACACACCGGGACGGCGCACAGCTTTCACGCAGGCAGATTCAGAGCTGCGGGTCTGATTCTGTCTGTGTGATTGAACAGCGATCGCGCTGCTCCTCATGGAAAACAAACACACTCCTGCGCCGGCCCTGAACTCACCCCGCGCTCACCCCGCTCCCTGCTGAGAGTGTACGAACACGCTGAGAGCGTGAGGCACTGCTGAATTATTGAGCTAAAACACACAGCCTGCTCCGCGCAGCTCCCCCAGCAACCTGAAGGGGGCGATCCGGAGCAGCAGTCAATAGCTGATTGCTTAAAGGGGAATTCCACTCATTTTTCAGTCACTAAATGATGTAAACAAATGATGCAAACAAAGTTATTCAAAGTGTTCGGCTGTGAAAAGACAAACAAAGCCATTTAAATTTTCCATCCAAAACCACCTGTGAACCTACACGCGTCTTCTGAGCGTTTATGTGGAACGTTGATGATGCTAAATGTATCTTAGCAATATATTTTAAGCCCAACTTTTTCAAAAAATCTCTCCTTAAACAGTGTCTCAGTCATCAGGCAGTGAATTCATAACCATTTCATGTAGTAACTTTCTGTGAGGGAGCTTTTAGAGGTGGACGTCTGGTTCCTATCACCACCACTGTGGACAATTCTGACTCGCTAAGTGTCTCAGAATGACTTTGTTTACATCTTAATCAATTAATTATGCACAAATTTTGAAAGGTTGGAGGAATTCCCCTTCAAGGAGAGCAGCACATCGGACCGGCTTTAAATGCAATGGTGTAACAGGTTGAGCTTTTAGCCTAGTATTAGTTTTTCATCCATATTTCCCGTTTGAAACTCAATCTTGTTCTAGCTGTTTTGATGAACCTTAGACTTGCTACTGTCATTAATCTTACAGTATGATAATAAAGCTTAAATATGAACAATAAAATAAAGAACAAACACGTATTAGTCAATAATTCCTATAAATGATTTGACAGCTACTATAAAACACGATTACTGCAGATGTATAAAAGAGAGCGGGGCCCATTTAACAGGCCTACTGCTTTTAGAACATTAAACGTTCTAGATTCGATCTCCATTTCTATTTCAATCCAGAACGTTTTTTAGTTTTAAATTTCAGTTAATAATATTATGTTGCTTAAAAGATGCCAAGATTTGCCAAACTTTTTCGAAAGTGTTATAAACTCTCCCCTTACAATTAACCAGTCAGGAGTCGAACCCAAATGTTACGAAGAGCCATTTTGTCCTTTCAGTAAAAATCTAACCACCTGGTGTGAGCCACTGCTGTGTCTGATCCACTCGTACCAGCACAACACACACTAACACACCACCACCACGTCAGTGTTACTACAGCGCTGAGAATGATCCACCACTCAAATAGTACCTGCTCTGTGAGGGTCCATGGGGGTCCTGACCACTGAAGAACAGGGTAAAAGGGGGCTAACAAAGTATGCAGAGAAACAGATGGACTACAGTCTGTAACTGTAGAACTACAAAGTGCACCTATATAGTAAGTGGAGCTGATAAAATGGACAATGAGCGCAGAAACAAGGAGGTGGTCATAACGTTATGCCTGATCGGTGTGACATCACCATACTGCCCAGCTCGAAGGAAACAGCTGTGTAGTGGCGCTGTGACTGATGAAGCTTCATTATAAAGGTTCTGGTCTGGATTTGAGACAAACTGATCCTGAGGCGAACGAGAACCAACATCCACCCAGAATTCAAAACATAAACAAGCTTAAGCCACAAACCAGACCAAAACACAGCCATGAAATCACATAATTCATGCTGTGGTCATGACGAGCAATCCAGGGGCCCAAGCACTGATGACGCTGGACAGATAAAGTGGTTTTAGGTGCCAGACAAAAGAAACAAAAAGAGAAAACGTGAAACAGGACCAGGTGAAGAAGCTCCTGCTGGAGCGGCGAAGCGTGATTGTCTTTGTCTCACCTTGCAGCCTTCACAGGCGCTGACGCCATAGTGATAGCCGGAGGATTTGTCCTGGCAGACGAAGCAGGGTTTGTAGACCCGTGGCGGTGGGGGCGGAGAGGGAGGGCTCGGGACGATTTCCTCCGAACTCGTACTCTGCGTCTCAATGGCTGTGAGAGAAAAGATAAATAAATTAAAGATATATTAACTGTGAGAGCAATTTGGGAAACTCATATTGCAAAACATTTTCATGAATTACAATATATATTCTGTCACCAAGACACAATGCCTGAGTAACATCACCTTCACAAACAGCCATCAAAGACTCCGGGTACAATGACTTCTGCACAACTTTCCACAGGGTTATTTAAGCACAGACATCCACACTACATGACCAGACAATCAAATCACGATAATGATAAAATATCCTCATATTTCTCGTCTCTGACGCCAAATATTTATAGAAACTAATACACAATGAAACTGAGTCAGTGTTTTCTGAGGTGTTAAAACTTTGCAAGACAGTGTTATTACGCCATTATAGCCCCACCAACAGACTGACAGGCAGGCAGACAGATGGATAGACAGATAAACAGACAGGCAGGCAGACAGATACACAGATAAACAGACAGATAGACAGGCAGGCAGGCAGACAGGCAGACAGACAGATGGATAGACAGGCAGACAGACAGATAAACAGACAGACAGACAGGCAGGCAGGCAGACAGATGGATAGACAGATAAACAGACAGGCAGGCAGACAGATACACAGATAAACAGACAGATAGACAGGCAGGCAGGCAGACAGGCAGACAGACAGGCAGACAGATGGATAGACAGGCAGACAGACAGATACACAGATAAACAGACAGGCAGGCAGGCAGACAGACAGGCAGACAGATGGATAGACAGATAAACAGGCAGACATATAAACAGAGACAGACAGATAGACAGACATTTCTTTTTGCTTTTTTCTGTTTATTTTTTTTTTTTAACAAATTTTCACCATTTTCAGCCGAAATTTCCCACCGGCCAAAAGAGATTCTGGTGAATCTCTAGGCAAACGAGTTTAAATGTTGACATATTTGAATAAGTGTGTTCATTCATACAGAACAGTCTCCTGTAGAGCAGCCGGACTGATCAGCTGGACTCTACAGCCTCACTGAGTCTCTCTCAGAGCTTCTCAGTCACATGGTGAGAGTGTGTGCGCACATTTGTGTGTGTGTGTGTGTGTGTGTGTGTGTGTGTGTAGTAGAGGGCAGCTGAACTCGTGAGTGATGAGATAAATTTAGATCTCTTATTTACACACCGCTGCAGTCGGGACCGCTGGACACATCACACACGTACGTTCACAACTCAGCACACATACCAGCACAAACAAACTCTGATACCTCAATGAGTCACACACACACACACACACACACACAGACACACACACAGACACACAGACACACACACAGACACACACACACAGAGACACACACACACACACACACACAGAGACACACACAGAGACACACACACAGACACACACACACAGACACACACACAGACACACACACAGACACACACACACAGAGACACACACACACACACACACACAGAGACACACACACAGACACAAAGACACACATACAGACACACACACAGACACAGACACACACACAGACACACACACAGACACACACACAGACACACACACACAGAGACACACACACACACACACACACACAGACACACACACAGACACACAGACACACACACAGACACACAGACACACACACAGACACACACACAGACACACACACACAGAGACACACACACACACACACACACACAGAGACACACACACAGACACAAAGACACACATACAGACACACACACAGACACAGACACACACACAGACACACACACAGACATACAGACACACACACAGACACACACACAAAGACACACATACACAGACACACACACAGACACACACACAGACACACACACACAGACACACACACACAGACACACACACAGACACAAACACAGACACACACACAAAGACACACATACACAGACACACACACAGACACACATACACAGATACACAGACACACAGACACACACACACACACAGACACACACACACACACACAGACACAAAGACACACATACAGACACACACACAGACACACACACACAGACACACACAGACAGACACAAAGACACACACAGACACACACACAGACACACATACACAGACACACACAGACACACACACAGACACACATACACAGACACACACACACAGACACACACAGAGACACACACACACACAGACACATACACACACACAGACACACACAAAGACACATACACATACACAGACACACACACAGACACACACACAGACACATACACACACACAGCCACACACACACACACACACACATACACAGACACACACACAGACACATACACAGACACACACACACAGACACACACACACAGACACACACACACAGACACACACAAAGACACACATACACAGACACACACACACACACAGACACACACACACAGACACACACACAGACACACACACAGACACACACACACACACAGACAGACACACACAGACAGACACACACAGACACACACACACACAGACACACACAC